TGTGTGTGTGCCTGTGAGTGCATTGAGTGTATGCCTGTACACAAGTGTGTGAGTGTGAGCAGGGGTGAGTTGGAGTCAGTACAAGTGCATGAGTGTGTTGAGAGTGTGTGTGTGTGCATGTGAGTGTGTGTGAGCCTGTGAGAGTATGTGTGTGTGGTCACCTCCAGGAGTGTGGCTGAAGCATTTTGCAATGATGTGGGGCTGGGCAAACACCTCAGGCATCTCGGTGGTCTCTCTGCAGAACCCCTTCCTAACCCAGTGCCTTCCCTGTGTGTCCCTTTCCTGCCAGGGCACGGAGGGAAGATGGGCTCCTGTGGAAGGGGACTCATGCTGGCGTGCTGCCTGCTGCTGGCCTTTGCCTGTGGCCCAGTCCTGAGCCGTGTGCCACGTGGCCAGCAGGAACAGCAGGAGCAGGAGGGGACCTTGGAGCCACCGCCACCACTGGACGACGCTGAGAGGTGAGGGCTGTGGCGGTGTTGCATTGCAGGAGCTGCAGCTCAGGCCAGGCTGAGCCCGGTTCACTGCGAGCTGAGGACAGGTCCTCGGCAGCTGGTCGTGGAGGACAGACGCACCATTTCTCCTTTCGGTAACTCAGGCTCCTTGTCTGAAACTGAGCACAGCCATGGAGTCTCATCCCTGCTCTGAAGGAGTGTGGCTTGGCAAGAGGTTTTGCAGCTGCCTCCTTAAATAAAGCGCAAACCCACCCCACCCCATCCTTTTGGTCTGCCTTTCCATCCTCAATTTGTCCCTCTTGCAGGGACCACTTGGAGGCAGGAACGAGCAGCCTTGAGGGAAATACTGGACCAAGGGCTTGTCCCCATGATGTGACCGTCTTGTCAAGTTGCAGGATGGGAGAGGCCTGGTGGAGGCTGGGCTGGCCAGGGTTGGCTTTCCTTGACAAATGATGACTGGCTTTGGAATGGCATTCGCCTTCATGTCCATGACCTTCAGTGACATACGGACTCCAGCCCATTGGGATGTTTTGTAGGGATACACAAAATGCTTAGGATTCTCACCGAACAGTTACCAAATGCAAGGTCCTAGAGGCCTGGTGACAGCCCGGTGCTGGCTTTGAGTTCTTCATTATTTTGAGCACTGGGCTGACGATCCTGACGGCTTCAGGATGTCTTTAGAACATGGTGGGACTGGACAGGATTTGGGGCCATGTAACACCATCCCTTTCTTCTTCTTCCTTTCCTTTTTTCATTCAGTAAACCTTGACTGAGTGCCCACTCTCGGTCAGGCCATGTGTTTCCGCAAGACACTCGGGAAACACATGAGTGACACAGTCTGTGGCCTCCAGGAACCCCGAGGCTGTGAGGGGTCACACACACACAGTAGTACAGCGAGGTAGGGTCCAGGAAAGACTAAACAGAGTGAACTGGGTCTTAAAGGATAGCTGGGGGGCCTCGCGGGTGCAGAAGGAGGGGAAAGTCATCAGCAGCCAGAATGGAGTGTGCAAAGGCATGGCTGGCAGAGTAAGGGATGGCAGTGGTTTGGGGCAGCGGAAGCTGGTGCTGAGGGTGGAGGATAGGAGGGCAGCTGAGTCTAGTGGGGAAGGGTCTCCCCTGAACTTAATCATACAGGGAGGGGGAAATCATGGGGAGGTTTATTTTAATTCAAAAATTTTTAAATTTAAATTTAAAATTTTTAAATTTATTGAAACCTAATTGATTGTACATATCTGTGGGGTACCACGTTGAACATCAGTACCTGTGTGCAATATGTGATGCTCAAATCAGGATAATTAGTATATTCAACATGACACGATGTAACCATTTTTTGTGACCTTTTGCCAATTTCTCGCTACCGCTCCCCTCCCCCTCTCCCACCTGCGGTGGGCTCAGTTATAAGGAGGTTTAAATTAGACGGTGTTGTACAAAGACAGCGGTGTTCTATGCAGGTGACCAGCATGGGGAGAGACAAAGTCCGGAGAGCAGTCAGAATGGCGACGGTGCATCAGAGGCGGTGAGGGCCAGCGGCCAGGTTCTGGAGGCACTCTGGGCCGGGGCCCACCTCTCAGGGTCACCTCTCAAGGTCACTGCTGAGTGTGGCAGCGAGGACAGGGAAGCATCTACGATAAGGCTGAAGGCTCCATCCTGCACAACTGGTGACAAAGCTGAAATGGGGTTTGGAAAGAGAAGGGATGGGGCAAAGGGATGAGGACAAGGGTTTCGGCTTTAGACACGTGACATTTATGAGGCCTGTGGCAATCTGGAGTCAAGGTCTGGGGCTTAGGAGAGGTGTGTGGAGAGTGTCCGCCCGGGAGTCCGAGTGTCCGCCTGGGCTTAGGGGTGGCTAGGCTTAGGTGTTAGATCTATTTCCCTGGCCTGGGGTTTGAAAGTGGGAGCAGAGGTAGAGAAGGAGCTGCCCGTCGAGAGGGACTTTGCTGCCACCAAGGTGGGTCTGTCCCAGCTCTAGAGGCCCGGCAAGAAGAGCCACCAGCCCGAGCATGGTGCAGTGCCGCAAGCTGCCGCGAGGTGGTAGCATGGCGCTGCCAGCGTCCAGCCCGCTAACCCCAGATCCTTCAGCTGTCAGGCTGGAAACAGAGTCTCCAGTGGCTGCAGCCCTGGGGAAATCTAAAGACCAAGTGGAACCCTGTGTGTTAGCTTCATTTCCACTGCTACCACTGCTGCGCACAAAGGGCAGGGGCTCTTTCTGAAGTTTCATTTAGGATCCCAGAACTTGCAGTGAACCGATATTAACCCGGAGCTTATATGTCCAGGTGACAGAGAGAGAAGGCGGGTCAGGTATACCAGACCCTCTGGCAGCACGTAGAGAGCAGAGCTCCCAGACCTGACAGT